GATTTATCTTATCCTGAGAATTATCTAACATGATCATTTTCTTAAGTTTAAGATCCTTAAAATCCTTATTAGATAAGGACAATAAGTAGAGTTGGTTGGAAATGCTAACATGAAGCTTTAGTGTGATGATTTATTAGCTAGAGAATGATTTTTTAGAAGAGGGTAGGTGGATAGTTCCGTTAGAGTACGGCAGTATGAAAATTGAATAGAAGTTGAAAATGAGCGAAGGGCCATTAATGCGACAGTTTTTCAAGATAGACGCACATTTTTGCCTAACCCGTACGATGTACGCGGGGACTTGAAGTATGTCTCCAAGTCCACAGGCAAAAATGTGCGTCCCTCTTTTTGCTCATAAACTGACTGCGGCTGTGGAATAGTTCTAGCGACGTTTTCATCACTACCTAAAGCCCCACGTTGCGAGAGCATTTCCAGTCGATGGTGTGTTATAATGCAGTTCTTCTTTACCCAACTATTGTGTTGCTCCTCTCGTCATGACCAACGTGATCATCTCAGAGAGAAAGCAGTAGGGTGGTTGTTGCGTGCTGTACCATCATCAGCATTGTTGACGGCTACTCCCGCCTTGAGTTGTTACATTCAAAGTGTTTTTATGTTACTTCATACGCGAAGTTAACGATTCTCTAGCTAATAAATCATCACACTAAAGCTTCATGTTAGCATTTCCAACCAACTCTGAAAATCGTTAACTTCGCGTATGAAGTAACATAAAAACACTGATCGCGCACGGGCGGGATCCCTACGTTGTGTTACGGATATAAAATAAAACAACACCGATTGCTTTGCCGTCCTGCCATGGCAGAGGCAGTGAAACTATTGATATATATTTATTGTTATCATCGGTATCATTTGTATCTTTTTGTGTGAATGTGTGTATCGCCGGTAGGGTAGGTGTACATATATACGACGTATTGTACAAACAAACACTTTGAATGACAATAAGTATTTTTTTTTTTTTTTTTTTATTGGTATCAAGCTGGAGCTGCGTGACAGCTTAATTTTCAAGACTTGACCCATTTGAATAAATTTTGCTTCTATCTTTGACAATACAGCAGAAGGACTAGCCTATGTTGGCCGCTTGAACACTGGATTCCGTATGTATTGTTTCAAGATAGTTATAGAAAAAATGCTGTGACGTGTGCGCGTAGATACATCCGCGTAGTAAACCGATTGAATAAGTAAATCCGTCTCGAACGAAACATCTAAACTATGCAAGTTACGAAAACCGCGCGAATTCCGAAAGCCGTGCGAGACAACCGAAGCGAGAAAAAAAAAGGCTTATTATCATTTAAAGAGTGCCACCAAAACAAATGTGACAGCCTATGTTGGCAAGTTGATTAATTTTGGTTTCCTCCTTAGATATTCTACTTATTTACTACTGAGCTTTGTATCAAATTAGTTAATTTAAAGAACGTATCAATCATTTCAAGATTTCGCGACCGCACCGAACAAATTCTATAAGCTCAAAAGCGTTTGACAAGCTCTACCGAATTGCGTATCACTTCTGCGTAAGCTCCGTAGACGTAGGCGCGTTGAATCCGACAGTCGGCAAAGGTTTAACCTGTACCAACACCGCTTAAGGAACGACCTCGAGTCAGTGAAACCGTTTATAGTTAAACATCTAAATTACGTAAGATACGAAAATCGCGCAAATTGTGAACGCCACGCGAAACAACCGTAGAGAAAAAAAAAAAAACAACTTATTATCACTTAAAGAGTGCCACCAAAATAAATGTGATAGCCTATGTTGGCAAGTTGATAAATTTTGGTTTCCTCCCTAAATATTCTACTTATTTTACTGTTGAGCTTTGTTTCAATTTAGCTATTTTACCGCACGTATCAATCATTTCAAGACTTCGCGACCGTACCGAACAAACTCTATACTACAGAAGCTCAAAAAAAAAAAAAAAAAAAAAAAAAAAAAAAAAAAAAAAAAAAAAAAACTTTTGGTGAGCTCTACCGCATTGCAAATTACTTCTGCGTAAGCTCCGTAGACGTAGGCGCGTTGATTCCGAAAGCCGCGAAAAGTTAAACATGCATCAATATTACATAAGGAAAGATCGATTTTACGTATGGTTTAGTTCATAGATTAACATTGATTGCTGTTTACAAATGTAAGTACTTGAACACTAAGAAATAAGTTAACTCAAATGCTTTAATCGCATATATAAGAGATTTCGCGTATTGAGAGAATTATATAGTAATCGAGTACAACAAACTCAGGGGAATACAATACCTCCAAAAGTTTAAAAGCTAATAACTGTCACATAACTCTACTTTTACTTTTTTTCCTAAACTATTCCTTTCCTTGTTAATCTGCTAAATGCTATTGGTCTGCCTGCGTTTTCTTTTTTTTTAAATTCAATACTAAATAAGAAGATTTATTCTACAACTATAAAGGTTAGTTGCCTCCCTAAGCGGACCACCCGCATCCTAATTCTTTTGTTAATCTACTTAATGTCATTAAACTTTCTGAAGTTTATTATTTAAATTCATTTGATGGTTATGATATCTCATTAGTCTAAATTAATAAATTATTAAAAGCTCTAAGTCACCTAATCAATCATAACCCATGCTTTATTAAGTACCTGCACTTGTGCTTGTAATCTAAAATTAAACGTGTTTCAAGTACTTTTGATTTTGACCTATACCTATTTATTATATCTTAGTTCGACCCAGGTGACACCCTCAAGTGACTAAAATGCTTCATTTTGAAGTTAGTTTCCTAGCTGATTTTAAATTATATAGGGTATATGCTCCAACTACGCTCACACGTTTCCACTATGTCGTCCCACAAAATTACGTATGGATATATCACAATAGAAGCACGCAACAGTGGAAATCCCGAGCCATAGTTCAAACATTTATCCCAAATCAAAATGAAGCACATATAAGATTAGTTACAATACCATGTACAAAAATGATGTTTAAAATTGTTCCCTGAGTAATACTTCAATGAAAACAACAATGAAAGCTTGTCACGCAAGTAGAAGGAGCACCGTTGGGCACCTTCTGAAACACCTCAATAGCATAATTCCCTTGCAAACCCAAACAAATCTATCTGCGTAAAAATAAATAAAATAAGAGTGATTTGCGGCAAAACCCGCCAGTATCACACCCAACGTCAGTGCCTATACGTAAGCGTACCACGACGCGGCTCTCAATAAAAGGAGTAACAAGTGTGATACTATCACTGCTGGACTAGATCTTTTGTTCTCTCATGCAGTGGTTTATCAGAGAGGGGAAGCTCAGTAATCCTCATTGCCTGCCCATGGCGCCATTCTATCGCGGCATGAGCCAGCAACGTCGGCCACAAACCCACCGTCTCCAACACTCCACTAGCATGAAATTAAGCCCGCCCACCAACAGCAAGGTGCAAAAACTAGCCAAGGGGAGGGACTTTGAATGACAATAAGTAATTTCATTACAAAATACTTGAACTAACGATCATTGCTTGTTAAAAATCAGTATGCTTATAAGGCTCCCCGAAGCATTGTTGTGAAATTTAATAAAATTCAATAAAATTTAATGCTTCACCATTATAGTAAGCTTCGCCATGCTACACACTTAGATTTTTTTGCCGAGATGGGCACCACCGAGCAGCTCGGCATTTTATTTTGCTGGAAATTCAGCAAAAAATATGTTTGTTAGCTGAGATCTCGGCAAATTTCTCGTTTGTTAGCTGAATCTCGGCAAGTTTTGCACTGAGATCCAGTAAAATAAAATGCCGAGCTGCTCGGTGGTGCCCATCTCGGCAAAAAAATCTAAGTGTGATAGGTCGTATTATTGGTTGAAGTGGAAATGTATCCAACAGGAAAATAAAATAACAAATAGCCTTGACGCCTTTTGATTGAATGGCAGTTCCAGAGTTGCTATTTAACCGTAATTTAACAAAACAAAGAATGCCACAGGACCCCCATAGGCCCCCTTCAGTAACATTTTCTAGCTACGCCAATGGGTGTTCTAATAAATTCATGATTCAGCCATGTTGGATTTTTGTATGTGACAGCGACCGAGTTTGTTTATAATTTGCTCTTAAACAGCACTTTTACACCCAGCGATCTACTCGCCCATATAGAGACAAAGCTGTATCACCATGTATATACCTACCGCAATTCATCTATACTGGGTTAAATCACTACCAAAGAGGTAACTCTAAGACTAGTAGGTCCCGAAGAAACGTGGTCGGTCCCAAGCTAATCGATGCGCCCCTCGAAACATAGGAAAATCCACGAACCCCTCATTTTATCTGTCAAACTTTCATAGCGAATCAAAACAGTGCAGTACTAGAATTTCGACTAGAATGGGGTACGTTAATCGATTTATTTGGGACCAATAGTCAAGTAGTGAGCCAACTTAAAATCGTTAGTTTCCACCTGTTGGCGCGACTCTTTGCGTGTGATGGTAAATGATAAAAACAGACACTGACCCCAGTAAATACCAAAAAGGATTGCTCCAGAAATGTTATATGATATGTTTGGGTTTGCACAATCCCGACACGAATTCCTAAGCAAAACTTTTGCAAAGTAGGTATTTCGCAGCATTCAACGGTGCCGGTGGTGTAGTGGTAAGTGTGATTACCTCTCACCCCAGCAGGCCTGGGTTCAATCCCAGTCGGCGCCGCCGGGATGTTCTGAGGCATAACATCTCTGATCACGCCTTCCTTCGGATGGGAAGTAAAGCCGTTGGTCCCCGGTTCATGAGTTGATGGGTCGATAGGTAGGGTCCAGGTGTGGGAGCTGCCTTCCTGGCACGTCGGTAGCATTGGTGCTCAGCACGGAAAACAAGATCGACGGAAAAAAACAAACCAAAGGAAAAAAAAGAAGGTATTTCGCAGCATTCAATAAGTATGTAATAATGGAACCTAGCATAGGAGAAGAATGTGTAACGCTCAAATCCGAACTGTCCCGCTCAGAACATAAGTCATATCTAAATAAAAACAACACAATTCATCATAGAAGCAAAATATATAGCAGTAAACTCACCTTGAATTAGTGCTCAAATATTCCAGTGCATTATCCCTTCGAAAGATCCGTAAAACCAATTATGATCACTGTTTGTTTTCAAACATTCACACATCCTTATTCCAAGCTGTGTGAAGCAAATTTACCTTTTTTGCACTACCACTACCGAAGCACCATTTCATCGCCATCGATGCGTTATATAGACAGAATCTTCACCGTTGTTGCAACACTGAAACATCACAATACAATTATCATAAACTTTCATTAGAACCAAGCGCCGCCTTTCGATAACCCATACCCGCCCGTGCGCCGACTTTGTTTTTCACACCCTTGAGGAGCACACCACTGTTATTAGGAGAAGGAAGGTGGGGTGGGTACGGGTCCGGCAGAGAGGCACACTATTATAATCGACGCGCAGATCGGGAAGTCGAAAAGGATCGCTATTATAAAATAATTAGCCACTCGCTCACTCTCGATCGCTCGTCCACTTCGCCGATCGCAGCCGCCGCCGCCGCCACCACCGACGGTCAGCTACGTTTCTCTTCTTCTTAGGTTATCTTTCCACACCGCCGTCGGACCGCGCGCACTATCTATCTCTTCGGTTGAACTCTCTGTCGGCACTTTTTATGTGTAAAAACTTGACTTATTCTTCAGCGCGCGCGGCTTCTTCTCTTCAGTGGATTTCTTCGTCATGTTTCTTCTTTTTCGTGTTTCTCTCAGTCGTGGCACTAGTATACTCCTCGATTAAAACCTGTTTATTCTCCTCTTCTTCACCGTTGATTCTTCGCCCGTCGTCGCTTTAATGCCTTGTCTTCTGCCGCCAACTGGGACCCGCGCTCCGTTCGAGTGTGAGAAGTTAGCCGTCCACAGCCGCCGACGCCGCCGAAAATTACGATTGTCGTCGATTCTTCTCTATAACTGCATTTGAAGAACACGAGATGATGGGTGATTTTCGGAGATTTTGATGATCTAGTCTCATAAAGTTTTATCACATGATGCGATGCGAGATCGAACCTAATAGTTCTGTACGCTCCTCCGGTAAGGATAAATCACAAAGATTGGCAAGAACGACAGCGACAGCTTTGAGAAGTTTATTACTGTTGAGGAAGACTTATATATTAAAAACAATATAATAACAACGAAAAACTAAAATGGGAGGCCAGCGGAAAGACAACATGATTGAAGGGAATGTTTATCTATTTGCGAAAAATAATGACTAAGCAAAATTGGGTTCCAAACTGCTTTTGTGAATCTTTCGCATTTTGCTTGCTTTGCTTCAGATAGGAAACGGGAGCGCTAACCAGCGATATAAAAAAATCCGTATATTTTTAGTTGTAACATAAACAATTATCGCGCGTTTTGGTACGTTTCGGACTGGGGGTCGAACGTATAGGAGCTACAAAAAAAAGAGCATCGAAGGGAGATTCAAAATAGTGGAAGCAAAAAACGTAAAAGAATTAACACTTTAATTCATCTTTTGCTCGCCGCTCGATGCGTTTACTCTATTCCGTATATTCGTTACCGAATGTACACACCAGCACATGCTCAACGGTGGTGGTGCTGTTCCACACAGGCCATGAATTTCATGGGTCATGGTTGCCAGATTGGACATTACAATTTTGACAGAAAATTTGATCACATCGAATCGAAAGTCAAGTTCAAATTTACTTCATTTGAAAACGTATACTCAATACGTTTCATATTATAACAAAACACATTTGTATCTATGTAAAACCAGGGCTGCGGAGCTGGGAGTATTTTGGGTAGGATCCGGGCTCAGAATCACTGCCAATAATTATGACTGTTACTTTGAAAATGGATCCGACTCGGACTTGACTTCGCAACTCTGTTTAAAACACTTGCCAGACTGAGGAGCTATATCCGGAGTGATTTGAGATTTGTGTGTATGTATTCCCTCTAACCCCCACTGGCCGGCAGTGTTATTATGGAAGTGTTATTAGTCCGGGAGATAGAATGTGATAGCTCTAAGAGCCATAGGCCAATTATTATATTAAAAGGCTATCTATATTTCATTTTTTTTTATTATGGATCCTTTGCCTACACTTACATAGAAATGTTAAAAATGCTCATCCTTTACACTTGTCAGTTCACTTATTCGGAACACAATGTGATAAAAAGTGTATTGATAGAGTTAATAATCAGAACTAAATTTATTTAAAGTGTTTCAAATTTGTAATGAAAATTGTCACTGAATATCTTAAATATTAAGTATTAGGAATCAGAATTTTTTAGACATTATTGTTGATTTTCTGAAGTTGTAAACGTTGATTGAAAAAAGACATTGAAAATTGTACAAAATCGAACATACACTTTGTTCTACAAAATTCATATTCATTTAAGTTGGTGTTCACCATCTTTTAGAAGAGCCGAAATAAATAAATATATGGCTTAACACAATTGTAAAATTCCTCTTGGTGACCTAGTTATTTTGACATGAGAATAAAAATTGAATTTTAGAGCACATGGGATATAAATTTTCGTAAAAATTACATACTGCCTCAAATACATTGCATATTAATTTTCCCATGTTGCCGAAGAAAGTATTAAACTAGGTAGTCAAATATTAAAGTTGTGAATAAAAGTGTGTATCCATTTTATAAACTGAACAGGCCTTATTGTGTTTACCACACAATTCTTCAATGCACGACGTATACATATTTACATCATTGACAAATCTCAGGTAATCATGCCATTATGATCTTTGAAAACAACGTGAATGAAAAAAGAGAGTTAAATATTTGCGCGAATGTAGTAATGGAGCATAGGTTAAAAAAGCTCTCATTTAACAACCGTATAGAAGTGCTAAAATAAAACAGTACACAGTGTATGGAATATACTAACGATGAACAGGACGACTATTGCAATAATAGCTTAAAAAAGGTAGTCCTATAAATAACAGCTCAAATGCTTCAGTACAGTACGATAAATTTGAAATTAACTAACGCCTTGAGCCACTGATGTTTTTGTATTCCTGCCATTCATTGATATAAGCACAATTTGTTCAGAAACTGCTGCTGTGTTAAATCCACCACTGATTTTTGCACCTCAGACGCAGAATTTCAATTGATGCTACCAATTTGAACTGATGGACGTACTGCGTCAACCTCTATTATTGTAGAGTGTAAAGAGTAGCATCTGGTGATGTTATCGTTTTCAGGCCAGCCAGGCCAGGCTTCCTGTACTGTATTTTTGTTTTCAATCCGATGAGCTGAATTTACCATTCATCAAAACCATCATTCATTTGAACCAGCTCAACTGGCAACAACCGATAGCCATTCGGTTGGCCGTTTTTTCCTCTTTGCTTTCCGTTGCGGTGCGTGTTCCCTTAAGACACCTCCGCACCCGCACGGGGAGATTCGGAAAGAAACAACAAATACAATGAAGATTTCGAAACTCGCCACACTGGCGGCGACGGCGGCAGCAGCAGCAGCAGCAGCAATGAAGACGAAAAAGACGACTACGACGACGTATACTACGACCACGGCAGCGGCTGTGGCGGCGAAACATGAATACACACTCATATTGGAATTTCTATTGCTCTATTTTTCCCTCTCGCTGCCTTCCCTTTCTGGTCCCATGTATGGCGACCCCTCGAAGGTGGACCGTCTAATCCATCGGATATAGCTTCATGTTAAAAATTCCTTCACATACACTTCCAGGTGTCCATTACCTTGTAGGAGACCATGGACCAATAGCCGCCAACTTCGGTATCATTGTACTCCGAAATAAATCCTCGATTCACTCTTTCAATCGAACATTTTCGATTTTATACTTTTCATCGCCGTGTCCGGAACTACACTTCAATTTGTCACGTTAAAACACACACTTACAGTAGGCACAGCCTCCGATGTTATTATTATTTCACACCTAAATTCCACCAGCGAAATGGGGTTCTCAAACAAGATCCGTTCACGCACTTTTCGCGACTGTCAAAACGCCATCATTTTCCATTCCCGAAACCGATAGCACTGTGAATCGGATTTTTCTTTTATGCTGGATGGCCAAACACACTTTTCAATGCTCTTCCTCCAGCGGTCCATGTATATTTTTTCGGACAGAGAAAAAAACGACCTCAACCATCAGCCAGCGATGTTGATGGACGACGAACGAAACAGCAGGCCGAAGAAGAAGAAAACAGGAATCTTTTTGACTGACTGCTTGGCTGCCAGTCGGTACTGAGGAAGACTGCCGCTGCAAAGCAGTGTGTTGCTCTCTTCTTCTTCCTACCGAGATTTGTGAGTGACAACTGACAGTCCGTAGCGAAGTTGGTTGCGGTGCTATGTCTGCGATGGAAACTGGCTGCGTCCCTTTATAGCGCTGCCAACGTTACGGGTTGAGTCAAGTATGCACTGAATTTGAAATATTTATTTACATACACTGTTACGCTGGTTCCAATTATTTCAAAACTGAATACCAGACATTTATTTATATATTTCAATCAACAATCAAACAGCTGTTGGGAATATGCAAGGCTCTAATAAATTATAGTCGTAAAACTATCGCAGTAGATATGATAATATTGTGGACGTATTCGTGCGTTAGCGATATTGCTAACGATATGACTTCGGTTAATATTGTGCATACTAAAGAGCCTGAATTTATAAAGAGACGATATGTCAAAATTGGAACAATCGATTATCTGTCAAAGTCATAGGAAAAGTCATTCCAATCGAGCAGAAGACCTGTCAAATGGATAAGATGTCGCCTCTTTATAAATTCAGGCTCTTTAGTGCATACGGCTGAAAATCAAAACGACATATCTCGCTGGCATCACTGAACTTCTTAATGATAACTTTGACTGGTGGAGTAATTTTGACGACGGACGTTGCGTGTCATACATGTACGTTTAGATTTGGTGGGAGCGTGATAATATGAATACCGTGGCCCCCGTTAATATGAACGACACTTCGTGCTAACGGGGGTCATTTTTAATTTGAACTTCTAGTAACCCTACGACCATCACAAAAGCGAGTTTCTGGTAGCCTTATTTGCTGTTTTGTTTTGATTCTGCGTTCCGTTTCGCACTGAGGGGGGGGGGACGTGCTGTCAAATCAGCCTACTGATCATCTTGTATGAAACTAGTTCAAAACGTAAACAAACGCTGTAGGTTTCTTATGGCTTGTTTACGTTTGGAACCAGTTATCCGTAAAGCCCTACAGTAAAAGTATGGACGACTGTCACCACAAAACTGAACAAAGCTGTTCCAATCGAGCAAAGCGGTGCATTTTGACGGTTCGATTGGAACAACTTTTGACAGACGTCCATACTTTTACTGTAGGGCTTTAGTTATCCGAGGTAGGCGACGATTGTTCGTATTTGACAGCCACCTCCCCCCCTTGGTTTCGCATCGTTGAATTTCGCTTTTGTCCATTCCATGTGCTAAATGACGTTTGAACAGTGTTTAGTTTGCACGGCGTGCAGATTAGTGGGGTCAAACTAAAAAGAGTTCTGATTACAAACGGTCAGATCACCGGGGGTCCACGGTGCCCCGTTTTCTAATGACGTCTACATTTTTTTCTTGTCCATTACGTCCTACCGGAAGTTTACACCTTCCCTCAGCTTATTGTTCGTTAAGCACTTTATTCCTTGATTTGTTTTCCGTACTGAGCGAGGGGCGTTTATTACCGGTCAGTGCCAGTCAAATTACCAAAAATTACTCTGATTACTTTTCAATTAATTGAAATTATTTTATTACTTTGAAATTTCTCTCGATTACAGAAATTACATTGGAAATTACCACGATTACTTGAATAATTTCAGGAATTACTTTGGAATTACTCAATTCAGTGCCAACATTTCAAAGGGGCGTAATTGATTTTGTAAACAATGGCTTTAGCCGTCGATTTCTCGCAAATAAAAGTTCACCTCTCCATATTAACAATGCTAGCTGGTAAAGGTAACATTCCTCTATCTGCTGGTGTCATTAATCTTCATGATTGAGCTTTTATTCACCAGAAATCGAAGGCTAAAGCCATTGTTTACAAATGCAATTACGCCCCTTTGAAATGTTGACACTGAATTATTGAATGATTAACAAAGTTTCCAAAGATATAATTGTTAGAGAAATACGATGAAAGCCAAGCTCGATTAATAAAAATAAGCTGAAATCATGTTAAACTCATAAAGGGTAGAGAACTCTCGATGAACATTTCAAATGGTCCTATCTGCTTTGATCGATTCTCTTCATCGACTTTCTCTTTTCATAGCCACTGCTATGCAAACAGATTTCGCGCTAATTCTACCACATAGTTTGATAAAGGAGGTTCTTATCTAGCGTCCAAAACGTCAAATACAACAGGGAAAGATTTTGCAGCTGAGTTATTGACGAAAGAGAAAGTCGATGAAGAGAATCGATCAATGTAGATAGGACCTTTTGAAGTAGTTACTACTTCAGCCCAATCCCCCATTTTGGTCCTATCGAGCAGAAAACTTTAAATAAATCCATGATTTCAGAGTTAACAAGTCAATTATGCGTTTGGTACGGTTTGGTACGATACTTTAGTTAATAAGCTACCGAACAAAGTCAATGAGAACGCGTGATATGAATGTTTGCACCCATTATTCCCAAAAACAAAAGAAGCGCTCCGACCGAATCAAGTTTTATCTTCATCGGATAGGCCAAAATGAATTCATTGGCGTTTCAATAGCATTTCAATGCGTTAGGCCGAGTTTAGAATCCGTAGGCCGAGTTTGGCGTCAAGAAGCAGTGTTAAACTTTTGACAATATCTCAACGATTGGCGGCCATCAGTAATAATAACATTCCGTTTGGTGTTAAACTGCGCTTCATTAAGAAAGACTAAGTGCAGCTTGTGCTTAATAGGCCGGAAATGGGGTAGTTAACCCTAAATGATCAAAAATAAAATGGAATAAAGTTCCAAAAATTGAATTAAAAAGGATTTTATTCGATAGACCTGCTCATGTTTTAAATAATGAAAAACTCGAGGTAAATAATACATAAAAAATAACTAAAATAATAAACTGGAGTACCAAACTTCAGAAGAACTACCCATGTTTAAAAGAAGTAAAAAACTCTTAGAAATGATGCATCAAAAATCAAAAGTACAGTATCCTTCGCAAGAACTGCTTATTTATTAAAGGATTTAAAATTTTAGCCTAATGACACATTCGGCCTAACGTACTTCGGTAGGTCACGAGCAGCCTTGTAAGCGGTGCAGTAGTCGACGTATTTTCTGTGATGATTCGTTGCCTTTCCTTCTCGCAACACAAGCTATCAAGCTACAGTACCGTAAACCGGGGGTAAATTTATCACTGGGGTAAAATTTATCGAACAAACTGCTGAAAATAAGTTGGTTTTTTTTTTGAAGATTTAATATTGCAAGGTGATCCGAAGGTACGTTTAACCAATATTTCTCATTAAAGCTGTAATCGCATCAACTCACATTCTGCAGACATAATATAAAGTAAAGTGATAATAAAATAACAGCAAACACTTTTGGAACAAGTCATAAAAACCAATCAATAAACTCTTGATCAATTTCACCCCAAAGCAGTTTTTTTTTTTTAATTTTCGAACAAAAAATATTCAAACTAAATTTAACGTAAATAATTTAATACATCAAGTTACTAGGTTTTGTTAACTGTGTATTGGTTTTAAAAATACATGATTTGAAAATAAACTACAAGCAAAGAAAATATTCACATATTACTGAAAATCGTGATCAATTAGCCCCCGGTTTACGGTACGAAACTAAAATGTAATATCATAGAGGTAACTCTAATACCACAGACAGACATACAAATTAGTACCGTTGTACCAACAATCAATATGAAACTAACGTTCTTTAATTGGCTCACTACTTGACTAGCCTATTGGTCCCAAGCAAACGATTAACGTACCCCATTCTAGTCGAAATTCTAGTACTACACAATGTTCGTTTTGATTCGCTATGAAAGTTTGACAGATAAAATGAGGGGTTCATGGATTTTCCTATGTTTCAAGGTGTGCATCGATTAGCTTGAGACCGAAGAGAGTACCAAAGCTGAGCCAAAAAGTTGAGCACGTTTCTTCGGGACCTTCTAGTCTTAGAGTTACCTCTATGGTATAAGACCAGAAGGTCCCGAAGAAACGTGCTCAACTTTTTGGCACCCCTCGAAACATCGGAAAATCCACGAACCCCTCATTTTATCTGTCAACCTTTCATAGCTAATCAAAACTAACATAGTGTAGTACTAGAATTTCGACTGGAATGGGGTAGGTTAATCTATTTGCTTGGGACCAAAAGGCTAGTCAAGAAGCGAGCCAATTTAAAATCGTTAGTTTCCACCGGTTGGTAATATGATATGGCTATCAAATGACCTCGCAAATGACTGTGCTGCCGAAGATCGTTACGCTTTCGTGTATTTTTCTTTTCATTATGAGAGCTGCTCATGCCGTGCTTGTCACCATTTTTAATATAATTTTTAAACGATAGCCGAGTGGAAACATTTCTGATCAGAAATAATTGAAGTGTATACACAATAGGATAATTACAACAGTTTGACAGTTTTTATTTAACGCGAATTTAGATCTACCGCTGAGAGAGATGATGGTTGAGCATTCATGATTGTACGAAAATAAACATACTGTAGCCCACGACGACGAAGCTAATACAGCTGAAACCTGGTAAAACCAACTAGCGGAAATCGATTTTACCAGGGGAACTGATGATGGTTGGACCTATTTAGGCCGGTTTCACACGACGTCAATATTCATGTCGTATTTTTTTTTATGAATTCAACATATAATTATGAAAAATGCGTGATTAGGGGAGAGATCTATCTTTCTTGTTTCTAATAATAACATAAAAAGTTAAATATTATGAAAAAAATATTTTATAAAACGTTTTTATTCAGCAAAGAATTATGATGGTGGTTGGACCTATACTGATCTTGGTTGGACCTAAAAAATGATGATGGTTGGACCTATTTTTGCAAATGCTGGTTTAGCCCATATTTGTTCAAAAACTTTGTTTAGAGCTTATTGGTATCATGAAAAAACTCTGATTATACAGTTTTTATGAATTTGCTATTTTAAAAAAATCAAGAAATTTGAGTTTAACTTCGTTTTTAAAAAAAGTTCACTTTCCACGCATTGGCTATTCATCAGGGCTCATTTTCTCGAGAATCATTGACCCGATTTGGAAATTTTTTAACGTTAAACTATAGGTATTGTGCTCCTATTGTAAGCTATT